TTTTTGTAGATCCAGGGTCACCCTATGTTGCCCAGGCTGGTCTCGATCTCTGGACTCAAACAATCCTCCTGCCTCAGCCTCCAAAGTGTTGGGATTACAGACATGAGCCAAAGCATGTGGCTTAGTAATCTTCTAGTTGTTACTGGTACAAAAGACTTCAACTGAATTTTTTATGTTCATCTTATATCCAGTAACCTTGCAGAAAGTTCTTGTTCTAATTGTCTTTGTTTTCTTGAATTTTCTATTATTTTTTGTTTGTTTTCTTCTTTCTGAGTCTAAATCTTTTTGTCTCCCCTTCTTGTTTTACTGTGCTAATAGGATATCTAGTACATTGTTGACAGGAAGAAGTGATAGAAGACATCTATCTTTGTCTTTTTCCCAACTTTAACAGGGAGTGGTTTTTTTAACTATAGATTTGGGGTAGATATCTTTAATCAGGAGATATCTTTTATCAGGTTAACCAAATTCTTATTTCTATTTTTCCATGAGTTCTTTCCTTTTAAATCTCATGAAGGAGTGCTGAGTTTTACTATTTTATGTAAGTTGCTCGCAGCTGTATGTATATTATAGTTGTTCTTACAAGTTCATCCTTTGTTCTAATCTCATCTGTCACATCTTCATATTAATAAGTTGTATGACATATTAATTAGTTATACATTTTTTAAGAAATTAAGAGGGAAGAAATCAGACTTTTATATTTATTCATATATTTACCATTTCTAGTGTTCTTCACTCCTTCTCACAGATCTAAGTTTCCATCTGGTGTTGTTTCCCTTTTACCGGAAGAACTTCATTTAGCATTTCTTATGGTGCACATCTGTGAAAAATCATTTGTTTTAATGTTTCTTTACTTGAAAATGTCCTGGTTATATGTAATGATAAGTCATCCTTTTTTTGTTTTCTGTACATATGTATTTTTTTTCCCCTGTGGATGCTTTCAGTTTTTTCTCTGTATCTTTGGTTTTCAGCAGTTTAAACAAGATATGCTATAGTTGTGGTTTTCTTTGTATTTATCTGCTTAGGTTTCACTGGACTTAGATTTGCAATTCTGTTTTTCCCCAAATGTGTACATTTTCACTTTTTTTTCATGTATTTTCCTGTGCCCTGTTTTCTCTGTTCTCTCCTTTTGCAACTGTGATTTCATATATGTTAAATTTTATGCTGTACCACAGCTCACTGAGGCTCTGATCACTAAAGATTTTTCTTTTCTCTTTAGATGGGATAATTTCTTTTGATCTGCCTTTAAATTGACTAACCCGGTGTTCTGTTATTTCTAATCTGCTATAATCCTACCAAGTTAATTTCCCATTTCAGACTTCATATTTTTGTATTTTACATGTTCTGTGTGGTTCTTTTTTTTATTGTTTTAATTTGCTTGATAAGAGTTTCCTCTGTTCATTTGTTATTAATTTCTTGAACATATTTATAATAGGTACATTATAGTTCTTACCAACTGATTTCCACATCTGGGTCATCTTCTATACAATATCCATTGACTGCTTTTTTTCTTGACTCAACTTTTCTGTTTATTTTCATGTCTATTAATTTTTTATTGTATACTGGATATTGTGGATGATATGTTTTTTTGACCTTCCAATTCTCTCTTCTCCTAAAGAAAATTGACTCCTTGCTGGCTAGACTTAAACTCCAAACTCTCCCTCTCTGGCATTTGGGCAACATCATTGATATCGCTCTTCAATCTTTTCAGCCAGTTTTTCCTTTTCTTTGGAGCCTCTGAGTCTGCCCTATGTTATGTGATTCAAAGTTCAGCTAAAGATGGTAGTGAAGTGTACATACACATTTTAGGGTTCCCACTTTTCTAGTATTTCCTCCCTCACTTTCCAGTTGCCTGCTACTTCCAAACCTCATCCTTTGATGCTTCAAGCCAATTTGATTGTGACTGCCTTTTTGAGTTTCAGTAACTTGACACAGTGTAGGCTGGTAACTGTCGTTATTTGTAAGTAGGTTAGTCTAGAATAAGCTCTTCTACTTTTTTGTGTGTAAGTCTCTCATGCTTTCACTTTCAGCTTTTCTGAATCCTTATGTTTTTGGTGCATATTTTGTAAATAGCGTTTAGCTTTTATTTTTTAAAGAAATCCAGTTTGACAGCTTAATGGATATATTTAGTCATTTTGTCTTAATTTTTATAACTGATATATTGGAATTTATTTCTGCCATTTTGTGCTTTCTATAGGTATGGTTTCTCTATTATTTTAAATTCCTTTCTCATTTTCTTTAAAGTGATTGATTTTCTGTTTCCTCCTTTTTCAACTTTGATTTTTAACTTACACATTGTTTTTATTTAATCAGTCATTAACTTTTAATTCTCAACATATTTGCTCTTAAAACTAAAATTAATCAAATATTTCTACCCTATCCGTAAATACAACAACCTTAAAATGCTTTAATTTCAATTGCCTTTCATCCTTCTCACATGTTACTGTTTTCTGGTATTTTTATTTATTTATGAAATAATTATTGAACTCTTCTGCCTTGTGCCACGTACTGTTCAAGGTGCTATAGTAATAACATTAAACAACATAAAGTTCTTGTATTGGAGCTTACAAGATAATTAATACATTAATTAAGATATATTATGAGGTAAATTAGTAGTTGGTGCTAGAGTGGAAAGTAAAGCATTAGGAAAGGATAAAGAATAACATGGGAGTGGAGATCCTGTCTTATAGATGAGTTTCTGCTCTCTTCAGACATTTCCTAACATCTTTAGGGCTCAAGTATGAAAAACATAATTCCTGTGCTGGGGAAGTTTACAGTCTAACCAAAGAGTACCAGGGAAAAGATAGAGATATGGAAGCCACTGGCACATGGTGGGTAAAGCTGTGCCCCTGATGAACTTCCCAGGGAGGATCTGTATAGTGTCAGAGGGCTTGAGAACAGATCCAGAGAAGAGTGGGGAGCCAGTAAAGAAGACCTTGAAGCATGGTCAGAAAAGGAGGAGAACAAGAAATGACCCTGGGAGCCAAAAGAAAAGGCTTTATTTTATTTATAGCCTGCCTATTCTAAAACTAATGTAAGATGGCTAAGATATCAAGTAGAATAATGCTGAAAAAGAGACTTGTGTTTCTAGGTAGGACATTAGACTGACTTGATTAACAAATGGTTTCATTGAAGTGAAGACTTGCCTTAGAGATAGAGAATAAAGATTTCTTATGCAGATGGTAAAGGAAGGAAGAACGAATAGAATGGTAATTGGAGAGGTTGATGTTACAGCAAAAAGGTGTAGAAAATATTAGAGATTGGAGGACTCCATGAGCAGAAAATAACACGGGCCCCTGGCCTGGAGGAAGTTCCTGCTGGATCCTTTACTTTCCAAAAACTGCTCCCCTGGTAGGTGATATATATTCCTGTGTTTGAGTTCATAGTGGGCAGAAAGATGTGTTTTTTTCTGAAAATCCAACAGAGTCTTCTGTTGTAATGAGCTGGCATTCATCTTCATGTGATTAAAAATTAAAATACAAGAAGAAAGCAATGACTTACCTCGCCGTTGCTCTTAAAACTCCTTAGCATGGTATTCAAGATTTCCTCTGTTCCGAATACACCCCTTTACTCATATCTCCCCCTTAATTCTTCTGTTTGCTGTTACCCAGACATTCCCTGCAATTTCTTGCTTTCCTATTTTAACCCACACTGTTTTGTCCACTTAAAATATTCTTTTGCCTTTTCCTAACTCATACTAATTCCCCAGTCATTCTCCCCACCAGTCTCTTTTTTTTGTGCACTGTAGCCCGTCATGACTTTTGGCATCTTTTGCAAAGATTTAAATTGTGAAATGCCATTCAAACTCACTTTGTTGTCTCTCCTAGCTAGTTGAGGATAAGGACTGAATCTTTTTTATGTTTGTGTGCATCAGATCGCTTAGTGTTGTGTTTTGCACATATCTGAGAAAGTCTGAGTGAATTAGGGATATTTGATTCTGTGATAAACTAATGCCGTGTCCAAGATGGTCATGTCATATACCAGGTTCTAGTTTGTAGCTCTTAAAAGTATATTGAAGTTCTGCTTCTTTGGAGTCTCCTGTAAAAGTAGAGTCCTTAATTTGGATTCTCCACTGATTTATATCTTCGTTTTTTCTTGACAGGATATATACCTATCGAAATCAATAATTGTAGGTTGCAGATTAGTGTATCAGGATGCTTTGACCAAAGTAGCACAATACCCGGTTAATCAGTGAGGACTTTATCATCCTGCATAAGAAAAAGTTCAGACATCAGGAGGTCTCATCTTAGGATTGGTCTGGCTCCATGACATCACCAGGGTTCTGTGTGCTCTCCATATTTTCACTTTGTCATCCTCAGCATGTCAATGATGGCGTGTTGATGATGGCTTCCCTCATGACTTCAAGATGGTAACACTACTTCTAAGCATGCACGACACTCTCCAACAATATCCAAAGATTGAAAAGTGTAGTTTCTCCTTTAACATCTTTATGAGGGATGTAACTTTTCCTGAATGCTTCCCAGCAGATCTCCCCTTGGGTCCCATTAGTCAGGATTTGGTTACTTGTATTAGCTAGAGGAATAGAATGACCGTGGTTGGCTTGGGCCAATCAGGAATAGGTGGCCTAGCAGAGAAGATCACTTGAATTCATTTGGGGGTCCAGTGCAGTGAAAAATGTTTGGGAGGGATAAGGAGCAAACAGTATCTGCCACAGTGCTGTGTAGGTGTCTTTGGCCTTCCCACCTGGAAAGTTAAGATCCCCACAGTTTTGTAAGAGGGAGAGAGATAATTTTGTATTTCCACTGAGCTTGGTGTTGGATCTCAGTAATAGTTTATTAACTCACTAATTGATGCAATAGACATTAACTGAACATATTCTATGTCACGGACTGTGCTCAGTATAGGGAGGTAGCTGAATAAGGCAGGATCCTTGCACTCAGGTGGTAGCTGCTTACAGTGAAGTGGAACAAGGTGGCTGAGTAAGTGGGGATGATAGAGTTATTCTGAAATAAACTGATTGTAGGACATTTATTTTTCAACAGGAGATGTGGGACATGTGGATTTGGGATATGAATTCATTTGAGAAACCACTTTTGGGTAAGTTGATAGTTGGGAGTGAATGACTTTAGGGTTCTACTTCTCTTACGTTGGGGTTTGATCTTATAGCTCTTAGGTTTTAAAAATTACATTGATTGGACTTTATGCCTCATCTACACACTAGAGAATGGCTTGTACTAAAATCTCAGTTTAGCAATTTGAGAAATGTAACAATAAAGCATAGGCCCAATACTAATTAGTTAGTATACTCACTTCTCATTAGGGAAGCCAATCTGAAGGCTAAGTAAGGACCAGTTTCAGAAGTTGAAAGATACTTGTTATACAGGATTTAACCTACTTGAGCTTACCAAGTAATCCTGTCATGTGATCTGGAAATCATTCCCAGAGCCAGTGTTGAAGATACACGGTGAAAGTTTGTCAATGAGCTTTGCTTTGCAGTATTCCAAATGACCATTTGAGTTCTTGTTGCATAAGTATACATGTGAAAGGCTCTCCATTTTTTATCTAACCTGAGAAGGTACTTCTGGAAATATCATTTAAAATTACTGACTGTGTACTGTCATGTATGAGTGTGTTGTTCATTTTCTTACTTAGTTTAGTGCAATGGGACTATAAGGAAGATAGGTTTTTCTCATTTAAAAGAATAAAGGAAGAGGCGCAGGTTTTTGCAAATATAGTAACATTGCTAAGGGTCACATAACTAATTAGTTTTGGAGCTGAAATTTGAACTCACATTTGAATTTCAGCATTTGGCCTAATGGACACTCATTTCTGTCTTAATATGCTGATTGTGTGGTGGTTCCCAAGACCCATCCCCAGGTTCAGTGATTGGCTAGAAGGACTCACAAGATCTAGCATACAGTTGTACTAACAGCTAAGATTTATTACAGCACAGGAAAAAGGTGCATGGGGTGAAGTTCAGAGGAAAACAGGCACAGGATTCTAAGAGTCCTCTCCCTGTGGAATCACACAGGATATACATAATTCCTCCAGCAACAAATCATGACAACATGTGTGAAATGTCTGTTAGGGAAGCTCGTTAGAGACTCAGTGCCCGAGATTTTTATTGGGGCTGGTCATGTAGGCATCCTCTGTCTGGCACATACCAAAATTCCAGATTCCCAGAAGGAAAGCAGGCATTTATACAAACAATACAAACCATGTTGTTTGGAAAGTTTAGGCACAATGAATCATGCTTATCATTTAGGAAATTTTTATGTCAATGTAGGAAACTGTTCACCAAGCTTCTACATCCCAGCCAAGGGCCAACCCTGTCAACCAAGTTCTTCTGAGAATAGCAATATTAGGCCTGTTAACTTTTTTCCTGAACATTGTATATTCATTTGAAGAAGTTGTGATTATGGTCATTCAGCTTTTGATAAGTAATGAGAGGAATAGGTATTATGGCAAACTAAATTCTTTAATGGAATCTGTTTTGTGGAGGGTGGGGAGGTTCCAGTTGCCACTGATTTTCTGGAAGGATGCATACAACTCAACATAAAGCTGTACTCATGGCTCAGGTTTATTACAGCAAAGAATGCAATGCAGGAAGAAGGTAAGCAAAGCAGGTAGAGGTGGTAGGCATAGGCTTCCAAGTCCTCACTCTTCAAGAATCACAGGGATGTGCTTTTCTCTCTAGCAATGAGTGATAGAGACACATGCAAGATGCCTCTAGCCAGAGAAGCACACAAGTGTTACAGTCCAGAGTTCAGTCACATAAGCACATTCCTACCATATGACCAGCTCTGGTAACTGAAACTTGGGACCCCACACGAGATACCAGGTACATATCATAAATCTTAATGATTAAAACAATGCTGACAGCCTGGTACATCCTGACTCACTGCCTGGAGCATATACAAAAAGATCATTAGCAAGTGACTGAACAATCCAGGAACTGAGTTCTCAGAGTTTGGCTAGGGTCATTGCCGTGGCTCCAGGAATCCCCTAGAGATTAGCACGACCTAAGTAAACTGGGCCTGCTGTGTTAACTATTCACACAGTTGAAATATTGTTGCATTTGTTAAATGCAATATTTAATGCTAGATGTAGTCTTTAGAGTATGATATTCTAAACATAGAAACAATAATTGTTAGTAAAATAGCTTGACATTTTATTTCTCTGAGAAGTTGGTAGTTTTTTTTTAATTAGGGATTTATAGATTCTTTTAAGGTGACTTTTGGATTTCCCATTTTTGTCTACAACTATTTGTATTATATAATAATACATTTACATTAAAGAGTAATACAAAAATATTAATTTAAAGACAGTTATTTCAAAGTTAACCTTCACTTTGTGAAGGTATTCCTTGGCTTTACAACACAATGGGATCCTTTTTTAACAGAATTTGCAGATTCACAGAAATACCAGTTTTGCAGGAAGCACATCAACAACCATAGTTGTTGTTTCTTAAAAAAGAATGTGTGATTCCAGGATATGGAATCAGTCTTTGCTGCTTTATTTATTGCTAGTTGAAATGTGCCTTATGTTATACAAAAATGATAAAGTGGATGGGGACAGTTCCATACTTGAAAGTGGGAAGTTCTGAGTTAACAACAGCTAAATAGATTTCCTTATTGCAGAACTTTACAGACCCTTTAGTATGATAATACGCAGTGTGGATCTACCAGGACAAATAAAGTATATATAAACTGTTTCCTTGACTTACCTGACCAAGGAATCTCTTTAGTGAGGGCTGTCTCAGTTATTGGTCCTTCAATAACAGTGTTCTTTAGAACAAAATGGACCAGAGGGAAAGACTATCTTAAGGACAGGGAAAGGCCATTAGAGGGTTTTAGGTCAAAGAGATACAGAAACAAACCAACTATAGGAAAAACTTTACTTTAAACAAACAAAACCTTATATCTTATGCTGCTTGCTCATAAAACCAGTTCAGAAACTTCCCTATCTGGATGTTTCTTTTCCTGTCAGGTTTCCTTAGTTGATATTTTTCTTTTGTAATGTGAGTGACATGTCTTTTAGATTTGTATTTAACACTGTGATTAGGTGATTGGATGTGGGTCGTTACCTTCATGCTTGTACCATCTATAGTACCTGACACAGTATCAAGAACATCATGGACCAAAACTTAGTAAATATCCAGAGAGCATGAAATGAGTTGTGACTCAGAAATACAGGTATATCCATTGTATTATGCTTTGTTTTATTGCACTTCACAGATACTGCTTTTTGGTTTTGGGGTTTGTTTGTTTAGATGGAATCTCGCTCTGTTGCCAGTCTAGAGTGCAGTGGCACGATCTCGGCTCACTGCAAACTCCACTTCCCAGGTTTAAGCGATTCTCCTGCCTCAGCCTCCCCAGTAGCTGGGACCACAGGCACGTGCCACCATGCCTGGCTAATTTTTGTATTTTTAGTAGATATAAGGTTTCACCAAGTTGACCAGGATGGTCTTGATCTCTTGACCTCGTGATCTGCGCGCCTCGGCCTCCCAAAGTGCTGGGATTACAGGCGTGAGCCACCACACTCGGCCTGGTTTTTGTTTTTGTTTTAAAAACAAATGGAAAACCTTTTGTGGCAACCCTGCATTGAAAAAGTCCATAGGCACCATTTTTCCAACAGCCTGTGCTCACTTTGTGTCTCTGTGTCACATTTTGGTAATTTTTACAGGACTTCAAAGGTTTTCATTATTATATCTGTTGTGGTGAGTTTTGATCAGTGATCTTTGTTGTTAATATTGTAATCGTTTTGAGTTACCACAAGCTGCCCATACAAGACGGCAAGCTTAATCAATAAATGTGCCTTTTCTGATTGCTCCACCGACCAGTCGTTTCCCTGTCTCTCTCCCTCTCCTTGGGTCTCCCTGTTCCCTAAGACCCAACACATATACCACCACACTCTGCTAAGCAGCAGTATTGAAAGGAGGCTAATTAATAACCCTACAGTGGACTCTAAGCATTCAAATGCAAGGAAGAGTCATGTGTCTCTCACTTCAATCAAAAGCTAGAAAAGATTCCACTTAATGAGGAAGGCATGTCAAAAGCAGAGATAGGCCAAAAGCTGGGCTTCTTACGCAATATAATTCTCAAAATTCTGAATAGCAAGGAAGAGTTCTTGAAGGAAGCTACTCCAGTGAACGCACAAATGATGAGGAAGCAAAACAGTTTTATTGTTCAGGTTTAGTAGGCTGAATAGATGAAACCAACCACAATGTTTCCTTAAGCCAAGCCTAATCATGAGCAAGGCCCTAACTCTTCAATTCTATGAAGGCTGAGAGAAATGAGGAAGCTGCAAAAGAAAAGTTTGAAGCTAGCAGAGATTGGTTCAGGAGGTTTGAGGAAAGAGACATCTCTGCAACGTAAAAATGAGTGCTGATGTAGAACCTGCAGCAAGCTATCCAGAAATTATAGCTAAGACCATCATTTAAGGTGGCTATACTAAACAAAAAGACTTTCATAGGTAGAGAGGAAAGTCAGTGCCTGACTTTAAACAGTCAAAGAACAGACTGGCTTTCTTGTTAGGTGATAGTGCAGCTAGTAACTTGTATGTTGAAGCTAATGTTAGGTTACCATTCTGAAAATTCTTGGGCCCTTAAGAATCACACTAAATCTATTCTGCCTCTGCTCTATATGTGGAACAACAAAGGCTGGATGACAGCACATCTGTTTACAGCATGGTTTATTGAATAATTTAATTCCACTGTTGAGACTTGCTGCTTAATAAAAAAGATTCCTTTTAAAATGCTACTTTTCATTGAGAATGCACGTAGTTACCCAAGAGCTGTGATGAAAACATACGAGATAAATGTTTTCATGCCTGTAAATATATTTATTCTGAAGCCCATGAATCGAAGAGTAATTCTGACTGTCAAGTCTTATTTATACATTTCATAAGGCCATAGCTGCCATAGACAGTGATTCTTCTGATGGATCTGAGCAAAGTAAATCGAAAAACTTAGAGAAGAGTTCACCGTTCTAGATGCCAATAAGAACATTTCTGATTCATGGAAGGAGGTCAAAACATTGACAGGAGATTGGAAGAAGTCGACTTGAACTGCAGATATGGTGGCAATAGCAAGAGAA